GAAGGATGGTGGTAGAATGTTCCTGAAACTCATTTGGTTTCCAAGAGGCACAGAGGTCTTGAGTCCAACACCCTTGTGAAGGTATGGCACTCCCCTCTCTGCCACCTCCAAACCACTCCCCAGGTGGTGTCTGGGAAAATGAACTTCATTTTGTTGTGGTGGTTTGGTTGTCTGTCGTACTGAGGATTGAACCTAGGGACACTTTACCACTGAACCAATCTCCAGCCCTTTTTGTTTTCTATTTGCCACAGGGACTTGCTAAGTTGCTGCAGCTGTCCTCAATTTGTGATCCTCCTGCCTAAGCCTCATGAGCCTCTGGGATTAAGGGCATGCACCACCACCTTGCATGATGACTTGGCTTGTTTGTAATTGGGTTACTTTGTTGTTGAATTATAGGAGCTCTTTATATACTATGAATATTAACTTCTTATCAAACATACAACTTGCAAATATTTTCTCCACTTAGGTTTTCACTTTGTTGATTGTGTACTTGATGCACAGAAGTTTTAACATTTGCTGCAGTCTAGTTTAACTGTTTATTTCACTTTGTTGCCTGTGTTCTTGGTATCAGATCCAAGAAGTGATTGTCAAATCAAGCATCATCAAGCTTTTCCCTGTTTTCTTGTACGAGTTTTATAGTTCTGTTGTTTATGTTGTTTATGTTGTTTATGTTGTTATGCTTGAAATTGGGACCCCCCAAAAAACACCAGAGACCAAGATTGATGTAAGCAGCAAAGAGGTGTTTATTGAAAGCTAGCTCAGTCCTCCACACCCACACAGCAACTGGTGCCCTGAGCCCAAGGTTTGCAGCAGTTTTATACACACTTTGGGGAAAGCAGGGACCCCCACATACATCATAGCATCTCTTAGCAAATCATCACACACAGCGGGAAAATCATAAAACAACTCTAAAGTATGATTAGCACAGTCACTGGCGGGAACAAATTGGGTAAGTGTGATTGGCTAGTAAAAGAGAGGGGTTCGTTTGAACTGATTGGATTAAGCCACGAGGGGAGTACATGCTGAACTACATGGTTTCCCAACATGTTATTGAAGCCAGATTTAAAATTAGGTAGTCAGTGTAGTTAGGTAAATCAGGTCTAATACC